AAAGAGAGAAAGAGAGAAAGAGAGAAAGAGAGAAAGAGAGAAAGAGAGAAAGAGAGAAAGAGAGAACGAGAGAAAGAGAGAAACAGAGAAAGAGAGAAAGAGAGAAAGAGAGAAAGAGAGAAAGAGAGAAAGAGAGAAAGAGAGAACGAGAGAACGAGAGAAAGAGAGAAAGAGAGAAAGAGGGAAAGAGAGAAAGAGAGAAAGAGAGAAAGAGAGAAAGAGAGGAAGAGAGGAAGAGAGGAAGAGAGAAAGAGAGAAAGAGAGAAAGAGAGGAAGAGAGGAAGAGAGGAAGAGAGGAAGAGAGGAAGAGAGAAAGAGAGAAAGAGAGAAAGAGAGAAAGAGAGAAAGAGAGAAAGAGAGAAAGAGAGAAAGAGAGAAAGAGAGAAAGAGAGAAAGAGAGAAAGAGAGGAAGAGAGGAAGAGAGAAAGAGAGAAAGAGAGAAAGAGAGAAAGAGAGACAGAGAGAAAGAGAGAAAGAGAGAAAGAGAGAACGAGAGAAAGAGAGAGCGAGAGAAAGAGAGAAAGAGAGAAGGAAAGAAAGGAAAGAAAGAAAGAAAGAAGGAAAGAAAGGAAATAAAGGAAAGAACGAAAGAAAGAAAGAAAGAAAGAAAGAAAGAAAGAGAGACAGAAGGACAGAACGACAGAAAAAAGGAAGCAGAGAAGGAGAGAAGGAAAGAAGGAAAGAAAGGAAAGAAAGAACGAAAGAAATAATGAAACAAAGATAGAACGAAAGAACGAAAGAACGAAAGAACGAAAGAACGAAAGAACGAAAGAACGAAAGAAAAAATAAGAAAGAAAGAATGAATGAAAGAAAAAGAAATACAGAAAGAAATAAAGAAAGAGAGAGAGAGAGAGCAAGCAAGCAAGAAAGCAAGCAAGCAAGCAAGCAAGCAAGCAAGCAAGCAAGCAAGCAAGCAAGCAAGCAAGCAAGCAAGCAAGCAGGCAGGCAGGCAGGCAGGCAGGCAGGCAGGCAGGCAGGCAGGCAGGCAGGCAGGCAGCAAGCAAGCAAGCAAAGCAGCAAAGCAGCAAGCAAGCAAGCAATAAAGAAAGAAAGAAAGAACGAAAGAAGGAAAAGAAAGAAAGAAAGAAAGAAAGAAAAGACGGAAAGAAAAGGAAAAGATAAGGAAAAGAAAGGAAGAAAGGAAAAAAGAAAGAAAGAAAGAAAAGAAACAAAAGAAAGAAATGAAAGAAGAAACGATAAGAAAGAAAGAAAGAAAAGACAGAGAGATCGAGAGAGAGAGAGAGGAAGAAAGGAAGGAAGGAAGGAAGGAAGAAGGAAGGAAGGAAGGAAGAAGGAAGGAAGGAAGAAATAAAGAAAGAAAAAACAAGAAGAAAGAAAGAAAGAAAGAACGAAAGAAAGAAAGAAAGAAAAAAGAAAGAAAGAGAAAGAAAGAGAAAGAAAGAAAGAAAGAAAGAAAAGAAAGAAAGAAGAAAGAAAGAAAGAAAGAAAGAAAAAAGAAAGAAAGAAAGAAAGAAAGAAAGAAAGAAAGAGAAAGAAAGAAAGAAAGAAAGAAAGAAAGAAAGAAAGAAAGAAAGAAAGAAAGAAAGAAAGAAAGAAAGAAAGAAAGAAAGAAAGAAAGAAAGAAAGAAAGAAAGAAAGAAAGAAAGAAAGAAATAAAGAAAGAAAGAAAGAAAGGAACAAAAGAGTATAAAGAAATACATAAAGGACGAACTAAAGATATAAGTAGAGAAATAAAGGCATAAATACACCAATAAAGACATACATAAACAAATAAACACAGACGTAAAGAACGAGAGCAACATACAGAAACATAGAAATAACGACCACAATACCACAATGAATCAAACAATCCTAACACAACAGAAGTCAAAACACAAATCAACAACGCGAGAAGGACGGACAGACTGAGACACGGATCACTCTTCTGGTATGTCCATCGAACAGCGGGAAGACAGATGATCCAGCTTGTGAGGAATATCATAGGTCTTGTCAGCAAGGCCTGTACATATGCTCGCCTGCCGGCTTATGAAGGAGGCAACCAGCACGCTCTGGACGGGCTGCAGGAGCGAATTATAGTCATAGTAGTAGACCTCTGAGCAGTCGATGAGCCACCGAAGTAGGTCAAATGATGCCAGATGAGAAGGACGAGCTTTTGTATGAGGATGATACCCCAGCTGACTTTGATTTTTGAAAGGATGTCCAGAACTACAATGGGACCGTTCACGGAGAAACAGAGTTTCATTCAGAAGGAACGAGAGGGAGAGAGGACACATCGTCTCTTTTTGTTGAATCTTGCTACACATTTTGCGAGGTCCCCCCTGAAAATGGTTGGTTCGGGCTCCTGGTTCAGCCCCCAAAGTTGCTCAGCGCCCGTTAATCCCGGGTGCTTGTTTGGGGAGGACGAGAGTCGCTGGCAGAGTGCCATCAACAGCAAGGGGGACGACCCATGTTTCCCATGAGCTCTTGGGCGAACACAATCTATGAACTTTCAAGGTTGGAACACGCTCGAAAATGGTTGGTGAACATATATCCCAACGTATTTTTCGTGTCCCCCAAAGGGTCCACAACTAAGCATCGTTCCTCAAGGACTTGGGTAGTTTGGATTGGTGGGGCTTTGAACCCAGTTCCTGAAGCCAAATGGGGGGGAAGGTGACCCTGAACATCCATCCCACCGAACCAAACCACCCAGGGGTGAGGTGAATACCCATGCAACGCTGTGCAGGTGACGGACAGGTGGCTGACCGCCAGAGGGAATTCCCTCGAGATGAGTGCCAGCCCCAATCTCTGCATTGCCATCACTTCCGCAGGTTAGCACGGAATAGATGGTTTTAGAGTCTGCCGGTTTTGAGGCCCGCCTTCAATTTTGTCCGGTTGATTTCCGCAAATTGTTGTCAGTCCACCAACCGAAAACCACAGTAAATCAGAAGGGATTTCTTGCAAGAATTCGGGAATCTACCATATCCTGCGCTGTTAGTGCCACATTTCCCCGTCGAAATGCCCTTCTGTCCCGTCCCAGTAGCTTGGTGCCGATTGGGATGGGCTGAAAGTCGGCTCGATTCTGTGTACACCGAACGCTCCAAAAGAGCCCCCGCGGATCAAGGGTCAATGAGCGTTCGCCAAATAAGCGGTCTTTGGGTGGATCCCAACGTACGAGCCCCTGAATAATTTTGGTGAGCTACTGATGGAAACACCTTCTCCGGGCTCCACGCTCTTCCATCCCCTGAACACACCTTCCCAAAAGGGAACCGAGCGTGCTACTATTTTTAGGGCAGCTCTACACCCATCTGGCCATGGGTCAAAACCCCGTACCCCCAGTGAACATCCCAATCCCCACTAAAATAGGTTCTAAAATGGGTGGTGCACTTATCCCAAAATGGTACCATTGGTTTTGAACCATGGCCATCTCTATCCAGGTGAGGGGGACTGTGATGAGCAGTACTTCCGGCTTCGCCTGGGCACTGCGGCCGCAGCCGAAAGGGCAGGCACCAGGCGTTTTAAATCGGCACCCGGGTCAACGGGAAACAAAAGCGTTGCAAAGGAAGCCAAAGCAAACCAGTCAGTTGGAATTTTGGAGGTGTCCCGGAAGCTGATCCCCCCATCAACCTGGATTTTAGGGCATGTTTCCGCAAGTGAGGGATCCCCAGTCTAAAATGGGACACACCCTCATCAACAAGAGGTGCGTGAATCCTGGGTTAGCATTGGTTTTGAGGCACACAGAGTTCTATTTTCTGGCTACGTTCAGGGTGGATGTGTGGCAGAGCATCATGCAGGCTTGGTATGGCACGCATCATGGGCCTCGAAGATTTCCTGCTGTGGGCGTGAGAACTGGGACAAGCCACCATCCACACCATGTCCTTAACGGTAACATTGGAACCGTGGCTTATGAGTATTGTTATCATTACCGATGAGTCATACTTGTAGCGCTATTGTCTTATGCGGGGACGCATGGCTGTGAGTTTTGAATGGCTGCGATGCAGCATGGCACAAGAGAGCATACCAAGGCAAAGACGGGTACTTGATCGAGAGCTACGCCTCGGGAAAGCTGGTGACGGTCCACGCCGAGAAACTTCAGCTCTCTGCCAGAGATTGCCCGGGTGATCACCACTGGAGGACTGGAAAAGGGGCTCCGGCAAGGCGGCCGGTTCGCGTGGGAGGAATGGTCCATGCTATAGGGGCCAACACATCTGCAAAGGTTTGTTTGCAGAAGGGCCCCTTAAGAAGGGGTGGGTTTTCACAGGGATCTTTTGGACAACAGTCAATTTGTTTGCCTTGCTTTGCAATCCACCCGCGGGAGGACGTCAGGGGATTGGAGCATCCTGTTTCGTGCTCTTTCTTGATTCTTACATTGGACCGTCCTGCCTTTTGTCGATCAACCCGAGTTTAGCAATAGATGAGTGAAACCATGGCAGTGATAACGATTTTGTGAACACATAGAGTGCAGGTCAGGGCTGAGTGATGTCACGCGGTCTGAAGTGAGTGACATTGACCAAGCATTTTTTTGCGGTTTGGGTGAGTCAGGAGCATATTTGGAGTGCTTTTCTTGTACTCTTGGTCTTCCTTGGCACGCTTGCTGGTCAGCTTTTCGGCCACTTGTCTTCAGGAACCCTAGAGACCCCCCCCTGCCAAGCC